CCAGTGATGGGCAAACTACGGCCCGCGGGCCAGATGCGGCCCCCTGAAATGTTCTATCCGGCCCGCGCGACATTATTCCTAATCTGACGAGTAAAAAAGAATACAGGCTGTGGTGGTTGATGCACCACTTAACTTGAGTGTTCGTTGATTATATAAAATAACCGAAGCTTTATATCTCACCATGAAAGTTTATTTACAATCATGTACAAAATTTTGTTTTACACTTATTGAGTAAAAGCTCGATCGGTTACAAGCATGCTTCGGTACAGAACATCCACTCGTCGTGCGTAGCGTAGCCGAAAGAGAGAAAAAGAAATATGGCGGACGGCCTGCACATGTTTTTATAGCGCCACCTGGATTTTCAGATGCAGCGCTAGGTTACAATTATATTGGCCCGCCTAAAGTTTTTTTTTTTTCCCTTTGGCCCGCTCTTTAAAATGTTTGCCCATCACTGCCCTAGACCATCACTGACGCGCAATTGACTGATTGCCCCTGGATGTCGGCTTCTTACAGAAACACAGCTTCCCTATCATCAAATGTCACGGCACGCCCCAGGACGACCGGGTGGTGAGGGACGGGGAACGACATATCCGAACGGACCATCGAATATCCTCAGAGCTTGAGTTCATCATCGTCAGCAACTAGTAACCCGCTACCCAACATGCACTGCGTTTGTATCCTAGGAGCGCCATATATCTAAATGCGCCACGCTTGTCCATAATTTTTCAAAATTATGCCATTGAAATGTAAACATTTATTGAAACAAATTAAATTGACATTGAATTATTTTTAATGCTAAATTGTGGTCCACAAATCCTAGGGATCTGTAGACTACGGACTGGGATCCACATAGAGTTTTTAAGAGAACATAAATCTTCTCTAAGTAATTGTTACATGAATGTAACCATTGGCATAAGTTTTACAGTAACTTGCAGGCAATACATATTAATGTGTAAATTTTATATAAGCTTTATATTATTTTTGTCGAGTTGTGGGATAATTTAATGGGTATTTCTTGCAGTGATTCTTAACAAGTCAAAAATATATTATATATGCCAAGTTATATATGCATTTGAATCACCGAAGGTATGAAGCGACTTTCTCGTATGATAAGAAGCAATGAAAAATATTTTCTTAATTTATTTGTTAGAGACCTGGATCATTCCAAATAATTTTGCTGCTTGAAGCAAGCCGAAGAACATCAATGTACGCAGTTTCTATAAATATTAATAGACTATGGTTTTGATTTGGCACCTTTTCAGTTACCTCTCCTCCTCATTTATGGGCTTAGCCCTGGTTAAAGATGATTTAAAACTTACAGAGCAACATCCACACGCGATTTAGCTGGTGGATGCTACACACCAAAATATCGCATAACGCTTCCAATGATTCTATCCAAGGCGGCACAATTTCCCTATCAAATATCACCGCACGCCACTGCAACTCTGATAGACCCGGGTTCGAGTTCTGTTATACCAAGAAAGTAAAAGCATTGGTATTCTTGTATCGTGTTCAATTGTATTTACCTTGTGCATTAAAGTGTAGCACGTGTCCACAGACGGCCGGATGACCGAGTAGTTAAGATGGCATCCAACCGCTCTGGAGACCTGGGATTGAAAACGAATGGGTCCCAAAAAAAATCCTAGAAATCCTTCGGACCCAGTCCTTCGCTCCCCGCTGCTCGATTGTACGCTCACAATGTTCTCAATTTTAGTAGTGTCTTGCACATGTACTGTACATGATTTTCCTGTTAACAATAGTTATGCTGGTCATTTCAATTCTGGAAAAAATTTTCAATTGAATTAACGTGACTTCTGGTCCCAATAGGAAATTCGTATATGCTTCTGACACAATATAGTGCTATAAATTAAGACACTTGGCGGATTTTCTCATCTTTATTTAGTTTGATGAGAAAATCCGCCAAGTGTCTTAATTTATAGCACTATATTGTGTCAGAAGCATAAACAAATAGCAAAGCACGGTTTCATATCATCAAAATAAAGATGAGAAAATCCGCCAAGTGTCTTAATTTATAGCACTATATTGTGTCAGAAGCATAAACAAATAGCAAAGCACGGTTTCATATCATCAAAAAAAAAAAAGGAAATTCGTAGTTAATTAGGGTCGCCTGCTCCGAAGTTTTCTATATCCGATCTTGACTTTCATCTATATGACCCCGTTCTCGAGATTAAGGAAGGACAGACGACCAGAAGGACACCAGTGGGATTTATAGGTCTACAATTGTTGAAAATTGCAACCCAATGAGAGGTGGATACAAATACTATAATACCAAAAGCGTTTTTGGTACTTTTATACTTTTAAATCACATTAAAACCTTACCTTCCATTTCCTGACTGTCAATACGCTTTGAAATCGTCATTCAAAATGGCGGATGTGCAAAACTAAGCAGAAGACAAAAAAATTCACACGCTATTGGTTTACCCGAGTCACGTGAGTACGGCGCGTCGCCATGCATTTTGCCAACCGACATTTATTTGCAAAAATTAAAAAGAAAAAATATTGTTAAAAATTGGAAAATTTGGCATTAAAAAAGGGGGAGAAAAATATTTCACACAATTTTCTGAGAAATTTAAAATTTTTTTATTCAATCTGTGCAAATGCTTAATTATTGTCAAATATTATTTTTTCCTTCTTTTCTAAAAACAATGATCAGCAATGCATACATAAAATTAGTGAAAAAAGAAAAATTCTGGCCACACATCATATTTAAAATCACTAAACTATTTAGTAATATATAAAAATTTGATTTATTATTAATTATTTTTTATTATTTTCAAACAAATTATTTAACTTGTCAAAATGTCTTTTATTATTTTAAATTTGCAGATTATATAAATAAATTTATTACAAACCTCTACACCAAAATATTATCTCAAACAATTCAATACAAAGTTACAAACAAAGCCATTATATAGTTACAAAAATAATTACAAAACATGAACACAGGCGTGTAGATAGCACACCATTTTTTTTTTTTTTTAATAATCATTGTCCATATTAATATTGTTCTGCCAAATAAGGCAATTGATATGTAGCTAAGACATACCAAATAAAATGACTATCTAAAATTGTATCTACTACAGAACCTTTTAGCTTTGATCTAACCTATGACAAAAGAAGGGGAGAGTTTGTTTGTTTGTTTTTTTTTCTTTGGCAACTTTATGAAAAAACCGCAGCTGTTTTCGGATATCCGCCTCGATGTTCGTTGATTGAGTGACATAATTGAAGCCAAGTTTTCCGAATGTTAGAAGTAATTAAACATTTGGCAGTAAATTATAAACACGACATTAAAACTTCCCTTTTTTATGATAAAAATTAACTGTTTCACTTAATATAATGATGAAAATGTAGCATGATAGTAGTAGCACTTGCTTCGTTGTTCTGTACAGATGTGATAGACATTTTAAGATGTACAGAATAATATATTTAAAAATCTTTCAGGTTGGGATATCCACGAAAGAAAAGAATAAACCATGTAATAAGATTTTCACTATTTTTTAACTGGGCGTGGAAGATTTGTTGGCATTTAAAGCTATTAATCTTTATAAAGTTTTTAATACTGTAATTGTAACAACAATTGGCCCATATTGCTTTTCAAAATAGTTTTTTTTTCACTTTTAAACATTACTTATTGCTTTAAGTATACATAACATTATATTATATATATTTTTTGTATATATATAATTTTTTTCTTTACCAATAATGTAACAATTATTCCTATTTTCTTTACAATATGTTCATGATTTCTAGAAGCTTAAAGGTATTCATTTAAAACTATTAATATAAAATTATTTCTTAGCATTTTTTTTCATCTTCAAAATATCAGTAATTACATCAAAAGGCAAAGTGAATATACTTATTTAAATACAGCGATGTAGTAAATACATCACGTATTAGATCTTTGTAAACTTCATACTTTGTTTATAAATTCCCACATAATTATACAAAGCTAAATTTATGAAAATTTTATCTAAAATGTGATGTTTGATTCGGAAAATAAAAAACTTGTCTGCTGTGTAAATAAAATTTCAATGTAATCGATGTTAACGTCTTGTTTCAACCATTACTGATATAGTGAATTATTTAAAATCTCTAAAAAAAAGCATGGATTTTAAATAACTATCCAGTATGTGATCATCAAATTTGTGAATTTACAAAATAAATAACTTTCAAAACTTAATTGTAAAGCAAATATGATTTCAGATAACTGACCATACTATTCTAAGTATTTTAAACTATGATCTAATTATTATTCTACTGTTTTTTCATTCTTAATAGCAAGTATAAAAAAATCTGTTTAGTGATACTGCAATTTAAAAAGTCATAGTAACTTTTAATGCAAATTTTCCTTAAAATAATTCTTTTAAAAATCAAACTTCTTGTACTTTTAAATATGTTTCAATAATCTTTTAGATTATTGAAACATGTTTTAAAATTTTTTGTAACATCTTTGAAACTACTAGAAACACTATCAATTTATAAAAACAAATATTTTTGCTTCTATTCATACCTTCTGTTGATTGACTAATTAAATTAATCTAGCTAGTAAATTACAGGGAAACACATGTATGCTTTAACCTGTAATCCTCTAGAAATCATGTTTATGAAGGTTAATATATCACATTAAATACACATTCAACTAACAACAACAATCAAATATTTACACAACATTAACAACAATTTATAATGAAATGATATAATGTCATCTCTTTCAAAACGTTTGGCTTTAATCAGTAACTTTTATGAATCTACTCGATTTTTAATTACTTCAACAATTATTAATCTGTTACCATGAAAGATGATCTTCTAAGTTCTAAAGGTGTTTTTGTTCTTTCAGTTACAAGAAATTCTATTTGATCTTTATCTGAATTATAAAATGCATTTGCTATAAACTTTGCTACTTCACTATGTCGTTTTCTCTTCATTTTCATCCCATCTACTTCTAGAATGATATGTCCAATTTTAAGGCCACCTGCTTCAAAAGCAGCTCCTGAAGTCTGCAGATTTTCATTTATAATTAAAATAAATGATTAATTTTTTCAAAATATGTTGAAAAACTTTATATATATAAATTCTAATATACATATTTGTAATATCAAATATTTGTGCTTGAACTAATATTTATTAAAAGCAAAGACTTCAAATTTCATTTAAATCTTTCAAAAATTTTTCTAAGGAGAGTTAATATCAACTTACATGAATACTGATAATACGAGGCAAGGGCTGTGGTGTGTTGACACCACCTTCTATTACTATTCCTAACAGAGGCTTTGTCTTTTTTATAACTACTCTCAATGTACCATCATTTTCTTGAATAATTCTATGGCCCTAAAATAATATAAACATAAGAAAATTCTATCTAATGAATTATAAAACAAGATTATTTATAAACTTTAATACTCACAGGTAATCTTACTGAAGCACTTCTTTGTTGTGAGTGATGTTCCTGTGGCCTTGATCTAGCATGAGGATCTGGGAGAGAGCGATGTCTTCGCACATGAGATCGAGGAACTTCTAATGTCATGGTTTTGGGCTCCAAAGGAATAGTCTTAAATATTACAAATATTTGTAAGTTACAGAAAAAATATTTTAAAATTATAATATAAAATTAAATTTAAAATTCTAACCAACTGATTTCTTTCAACTGAATCAGGAGGAGGCACAGCAATTAAATTGTTACCCACATTACCCACACTCCACCTTCTATCTTCTGATGATAATAAGTCTAAATAACCTGTATAATCATCTACTTCTCCTCCACTACTATGTCTTCTAAGCATGCCATGCTGGAGAGCTCTTGCACTTTTACGGGGCTGATGTATATTGAAGGAATAATGATGACTAATGCCTCTGGTAGTCTTTTGCTGACTTAAATATATAAAATATCAGGAATTCATTAAATAATAATAAATTTAATACTTTGATGTATTAAATTTATTATTATTATTATTATTTATAGCTTGCACACAAACATAAATTATGCATCCGGGAACCATATCACAAATAAAACTACCTAGCTCAAAAGATCATAGAAAACAAATACACATAAAATATACTTTAACCAAGCTACAATCATAGACATAGTTGTACCAACACCCACATACAAAATACATACATTCAAAAATTAATAAATATTCAAAAGTCATAAAATAAAGCAAATAAAGCTCTGTGGAGAATGGAGAGGTACTTATTGCTTCAGTAGTCCTTTCTTGCACAGGCATCATACCACATATTACTTAAAAATTAAGAAACATTAGAACTTCACAACAGCACATACATCATATTACAGAAAATAGCCAGACTGAATACATCACACAATCAGGAAATTCTTAAGCACAAATATGTGTGAACAGCACATTAACTGTTCACATTAATAAAGTAACAACTTTTACTGTACCATTAGACACCAGTATCAACTGAACACAATATATTTCATCAACACCATAAAATAAAATATTTGTAATTATTCACTTAAAAATTTTATTTACTTGTTAACTTACACTGTTTATTATTATTTTTGAAGAAATATTTTCCTTATATTAGTTTTATAAATATTGTAATACTTATTGGTAGAAAAACAAAACAAAAACATAATTATAACTAGAAATATCAATCATTACATATAATATCTTTTCTATATATTTTAAAAATTAAATATTATAGAAATTCATTTTTAAATATTTACATACTGAAATCCATTTTTATTTCAAGAATTGCTAAAATTTTTCTTATATACTAATTTACTATAAATTTTTTATTAACTAACCATTAAAATATAAATTGTCAGTATTATTCAATTTGAATTTTATATTCAAACTTAATTTTCAACCTTCAATATGTTTGAAAACTTCAGTTATAACTATGTTATTCTATTTTCAGTTATTTTTAAAGTATCAGTAAAGTTAGCATCAATTTTCAGTTTTTCTTCAAATACATATTAATAATTATGCATTAAATATATTAAACATATATATATATAACTACAACACTACAACAATGAAAAATTAGATATCCTAGACAGATATTTATAATTAATTATAACTTCTACAAAGACTACATAAAAATTAAAAATTTACTCACCCAGATGTTTTACGTCCATCAATCTGATAGCTATTATTAACAAAATCTACACCACTATTCTTTTTTGATGAATGAATCTGGAAAATGATATGAAATAAAAAATTAATTATTCAAAACATTTACTTTTACAGATTACTTTAGAATATTAATGAATTTTAATATGAAATTTATTAAATGAATATTTTAATTATTTTACCCTTCTTGGACTATTTTCACCACCTACAAATCTCTGAGCTACTTTACTCTAGAATATAAAAATGTAATTAACTTTTATATTACAATTTAATAGTATCAAAAAATAATAAAACTGTAATTACAAAACATTTTTAATCACTTTAATTTTTATTCATCTTTAATTGTATAAAAAAATATACACCTATATTTTTATAAATTTATATATACATATAAATATTTTATATATAATGTGTGTCCTATTTAAAAGTATTCAACACAATGACCACTCTGATTTATATGAGAAAATACAGGTATACCTTGCCTTACGTCAGTAATTGGTTCCAGGAGAACGACTTAAGTCGAATTTACTTGTCTCCAAATCTACTTGTCACTAGGCTAAACCATAAATTGCCAATTCCAGTTCTGTATTTTATTTATTAATGCATTTTTAATAATGTATGGTTAATAAGGATCTATTTTAAGCTTGCAAACAAATAAATTTTAGTTTTTAATACAGTACAGAAAAAAGTAATCTAAATTTACGAATGCATGTATTGTAAATACAGTACATACTTGTAAATGTATATATTTTAATATGATTTTATGTGCTTTAAACATTTTTCTAGTGATATTATGACTTCAATATTTGTGGCAGACAGACGTAAAGTTGAATAAAATGACTTAACCTTGGATTTTTATTTTTCCATATACTTTTTTAACAAATGACGTATAATCAGGAACGACGTAACTCGAAATGACATAAGTCAAAGTATACCTGTACTCAATTCAATAAACATCAACCAATATTTACAAGAACAAAATATTCTGATTACAACAAACAAAATATTTCTGATTACAAGTGAAACAAGACTGAAATTGGTTGGTTAGTTTTTAAATTCCCATGTCACTATGATTAGATGGGCTCATAGGTTCCAGTTTCTCATTTTCTTTGTTCCATTCATGTTGTGTCTTCATTTGCAAAAAAGTAGTGTCATTTTTTAAAATGCACTTGTGTAGTTTAGAAAACTTTATCTCTATATTATAAGTCCTTTTATTAATGATTACAATTTTATTTTACTTGTTTTTGACATACTTCTTGTCTTAATTGTTTTCTCACCACTGTCTGATAATCTCGTATTTGCTTTTCTCATTTTGTATTTGTTCCTTTTATGTAAGTAAATAATCTAATCAATACCTTTATTTTGTTTCATTTGAAATCATTACCTGATAGATAAATAAGTGTTTATAGCATATGTATTTGAAGAACATTGTTAACGTGAATGAGTTAAGCCAAAATAAGATTCAACTTTTGAATATTAAAAATAAAAAAAACAAAAAAACCTCATCCCAATTTACAAGAAGTATTCAGGTTCAAAACAAGCTCATAAATCAGGGTTACACTGTATGTAAAACCATGGGCGTACCCAGGAAGGGGTATGGGTGGGCACAGCCCCCCCGGTTAACCTGGTCCCCAGAAAATTACAGCCAAAAAAGTGTTGAGCCAATTTGCAAAAAGAAATAAAAAGCTGAAGCTAATTTAATTGGGTGTAATGTACCCACTGAAAGTCTAGATCAGGCATAGCCAACATACGGCCCGCTTAATGAATTTATGCAGCCCGTGATTAATCTTTGAATATTGGACTTAATTTCAAATAATTGCTTGAATGGATCCACGATAATTCCTTATATACTCACAATGCAAAGTGATAGGAAACTTGAGAAATTTTGACCCCTAAAAAAAAAAAAAAAAGAAAGAAAGAAAGAAAAAGGTCAACAGCTTTCTGTGCCCAATGTGAAAAGTGTATCTGTAATCTCTATGTACAGTTTAGTCTCTACAGGGTGACGCCACAATAAAATCTCGCATCACCTGAAAATCTTGCAAGGGCTGCCTCTGGTTCGGCCAGTGAAAAATGTTTTCTTTCCAATCCGGCCCAAGGAAAAAACTGTTGGCCACCCCTGGCCCAGATCTAGATTAAAGACAGTGAACTATATTAAATAATGGTAAAAAAAATAATTGATTGATTAATTTTTGTTTAAGGCATTGCTAGAGTTTGATATTAATGTTACGAGAATGTATGATTAATAGAAGTTTCATATTATATGTGTGTTAAGTTATTGTCGATTCCTATGGAAATTTCATTTTAATGAACAATAATTTGAAATAATTCAATTTTGTGTCAGGCTGGTCTCTACTAGGCCCCCCATAACAATACTCTGGCTACGCCAATGTGTAAAACTCATATTTTAATAGGAATCCAAACATTCAGTATTCACTAATTGATGAATAATTGCCTATTCATCTATTTGGATTTGGTACAATATATCAACAAGGAATGAGAAATAGCAAATATTAGTCACAATTAAATCATCCACACTATTTCGTATTAGCCAAACATTTCCTCAACATTTGCAAAATACCAAATGTTTAGAGTCACCTTTAATTAAAATGTCAGTACAGCAGATCTTTAATTTTACAACCTAAATGGTTCTTAAAAACCAGTTAAGCAAGCCATTAAGATCTGAACTCTGATTTTTGAAAGGAAAGAAATAATCAGATATGTGTTACTATAGATAAATTTCTAAATACTAGCAAAAACATATACAAAATATAGTAATATATGTGTTTTTGTAATAAAATTGGCTGAAATCTTGATATTAACAAAAATTAATATACAGTTGACCCCCCTATAACACTGTAGATAATTCCGTTTTATATGAATTCCATGTTGTACTGTACAAGTCACTTAGATTTTACAAATATGTGCGCCTGGCTGTGAATGGCTCACATATTTGTAAAATCTAAGTGACTCGTACAACATGAAATTCATATAAAACAGAATTATCAACAGTGTTATAGGGGGGTCAACTGTATAGCTTTTACTATAAAAGATATATATTAATAATATAAAAGCTATAAAAATATAAAAGAAGTAAGTAAATATTTAATCATGTCTAAGTTTAGTACAAGAAAGATGAGAATTGTAGATTATATTTGCTTATTTTATTGTTTTTATGACTTTGCTTACCAAAACAATGGTCCCATCAAGAAGATAATATAAACTCTGCAGAGTGAGGATTCTCACTCTGCAGAGTTTACACAGTCTTGATGGGCATCCTGTATTTATGTACAGTATAAATAAAACATTTTCAATAATATTTTATGTATATTACACTTCATTTTTTGAAACATCTCAAGTGCTCATTGTAAAAAATAGACCAAACAAATCCCAAAAATTAATAAGGCAACATAAATTTAAGAAAAATCTAGTATCTATTACTAATATTCAGGAATGGATCCTGGAGCAAAGAGCAGTCAGAAAAACAGTTTTTAATTGAGTAATAAAATAAACTACAGTCGACCCCTCTATAATTACGGTCCCTATAATTACGATTCCTATAAAACTACGAAAAAATTGCTACCGGTATCTGTAAAAAATAGTAAAAAAATATACGTATTTTGGAAATGTTGAGTCGTATTAGTCTAGAATCGATTAATTTTATGGAAGATAATCTTTCAAACAGCCGTAGTCCATAAACTTGATACGTGTCGGTTGTGATTGGAAGGATTCGTAAGAAATCGGATTCCTAAAGAATGGAACATATCTCTATCTTATAGGGGGGTCGACTGTATACACAAAAGTTTTATTACTTTAATTATTATTACTTACACCTATTATTTTAAAGAAATAAAGAAACTCATGTTAACAATAAAAAAATTCTCAGGAACAGCAATCATTCTTATTATATCAAACTTTTGCATGTATTGAATGATCTAATAATTTGACTAGCATTGTTGTATTGTGACACTAAGAAGTGTAATGTACATAAAATATTATTGAAAATCCTTTATACACACACACATATACAGTAGCACCTCGATTATCCGACCTAATTGGGGACTGGGGTTGGTTGGATAATTGAAAAGTCGGATAACCGAAAAGTATGATTATATGTGTGTTAAGTTATTGTCGATTCCTATGGAANTACTCTTCTTGTAAAAAGACTTGCTAACTTCTATTGCTGTTAGTACATAATATTATCCATGTTATTACAATCTATGTTTGTAAATCAACAAATGTACTGTACAGTACTTAATTATAAAGAATTGTCATGTAAAATCAAAACATATTCCTGCAATTTTACAACAATACTGTACTGTTATTTTATGTTTGTAAAACCAACTAACAAATGTATTGTATTATAATACCTGATTATGTATTTGCAACATCAGGTCATGTAATGTTGTTACATTAATAAATCTGAATGAATGAATGAAAGTAAGGAATGGATATGAGAGAAACAAACTTTTGAACTTTAACAATACGGAAGTCATTAATGTGCAGATTACCTAGGTAAAATGTGGAAAACTCTTGATTTTGCACGTTGTACACACATTAACAGCCCGAACATGTTGTCATATATATATGTTAGTGATAACATATATATATATATATATATATATGACAACATTGCTGAAACAAATATTATTGAAAATCGTTTGTACTGTACATACACAGATATATATATCTGTGTATGTACAGTACAAACGATTTTCAATAATATTTGTTTCAGCAATGTTGTCATATATATATATATATATATGTTATCACTAACATATATATATGACAACATGTTCGGGCTGTTAATGTGTGTACAACGTGCAAAATCAAGAGTTTTCCACATTTTACCTAGGTAATCTGCACATTAATGACTTCCGTATTGTTAAAGTTCAAAAGTTTGTTTCTCTCATATCCATTCCTTACTTTCATTCATTCATTCAGATTTATTAATGTAACAACATTACATGACCTGATGTTGCAAATACATAATCAGGTATTATAATACAATACATTTGTTAGTTGGTTTTACAAACATAAAATAACAGTACAGTATTGTTGTAAAATTGCAGGAATATGTTTTGATTTTACATGACAATTCTTTATAATTAAGTACTGTACAGTACATTTGTTGATTTACAAACATAGATTGTAATAACATGGATAATATTATGTACTAACAGCAATAGAAGTTAGCAAGTCTTTTTACAAGAAGAGTATTACAGATGTTTTAAATGCCGAGTTATATATACAAAGTATAATTAGAACATACTGTTACAAAGTATAACAATAATGTTACAACATCTGATAAAATAACAACAGTTTGCTGTAAAACAATTAACAATAAAACATAAATGCTAATATGTAATAATATATTAACAATTAAATATTAAATAAAAAAATCAAATCCATGGCAAAGAAAGTGTCCAGAACAGCAATGTTCCAGTTGACAGGAAGATTTTCAATCAAAGTCTTTGAAGAATCCTGTATGAGATTGATACATAAGAAAGCAAAGTAACATATGAGACTGTCACTGTGAGTTTTTCATAAGTCCATGGGTATCCATCACTACTAAAGTCTGTGAGTGAGAAGCACCACAAAAGTTTGAAGGTGTCTCTAAACACCACAAGATAAGTAAGTGAGTTGTACCACTCAAAAGTCTATGGATATCCTCAACACCACAAAAGTCTGTGGGTGAGAAGAGCTGCAAAAGTCCAAGGGTGTCCTTAAACACCACAAAGTCCATAAGTGAGGTGTACCACTCAAAAGTCCATTGGATGTCCCTCAGCACCACAAAAGTCCTTGAATAGTTTGACATAAAAGAAAGTGAAACCAAAAGTTGCAAAGCTGCACAGGAAATTGTAGGTCAAAACATGCATCAACAAGCAGGGGTGATGTATGAAACAACATTCCACCAGAAATACATCAGTGAAAGAGAAGGATTTTAACAGTAAGGAAACACTAAGGATTGCAGTAACTTGAAAATATTTTTCAATTAATTGGAGAAGCAAATCATGAGATTCTTTGTCTACTGTAAGCACATGGGCTTCACAGGGCCAAGAAAGATTTTTGCTAATCATGTGAGTTCGTATATTGTTTCTTTCACATTCAGTAGTAGCCTTTCCCTACTCCTTCCCTCTCTCCCTCCACTTTTAATTTGGTTTTGCCAGCGTCTTGTCATTGCCAGTTGTTTTTATTTCTCATAATTTGCATCGGCTGCCAGTGTATAGCATAGCTAATTCTGTTTTCAAATTCATTTCTGCTTGTTAGCGCTTGAATTTGTGCCGTGTTTTTTTTAAGTAAATAAATTTAACTCCTAGTATGCAAGCAAGCACCGAATTGGTGAGTACAATGAAGAAAAGATTCTTCAAAAACCTCTTTAGCAAAGATTCAAAATATAATAGTGTTTTAATGACAAAATGAAAGTATGATTCCATAATTGAAGATGTAAAGCGAATAAAAGTTTCCAAGAAGAAAGAATCAGCTTGAGATTATCGAATAACTCAAAGGTATGATGTGTTGACTGTACAAGGCTGTAAAAAACTCATTGAGCCATTGTCAGATGCGCAAGAAAGTGTGAAAAAGTTTGTCCATGCAGAAGAATTGTTTGACATATTGTATTCAACTCATTTGTCAATTGGCCATGGTGGAAAAGACAGAATGGTCAAGCAATTAAAAACATTTTATAAAAATATAACCCAAGCCCAAATAAAAATATTTTTGGATTTATGCGAACGTTGTCAACAAAAACAAAAAAGTGCAAAAAAAGGCTTGATTATTTCAATGCATTTCAATAGCAGATGCCAGGTGGATCTCATCGATTACCAATCTCAACCAGATGGAAAGTTTAAGTTTCTTCTCGTATACCAAGACCACTTAACAAAATTTGTTGTATTAAAGTTGCTCACATCAAAATGGGCAGATGAAATAGCCTATAACTTGCTTGATATTTTCTTTGCTTTTTGGTGCTCCAAGTATTTTGCATTCTGATAATGGATGTAAATTTTGTAATAAAATCTTAGAATGTGTAACAAAGTTGTGGCCAGAAATCAAAATGATTAATGGCAAACCTGACACAGCCAAAGTCAAGAAAGTGTAGAATGAGCAAATCAAGACATTGAAAACATGCTAACTACTTGGATGACTGATAACCAAACTAACAAGTGGAGTAAGGGCATACGATTTGTACAATTCATGAAGAATTGTGCCTACCATTCTGCAATTAAAAGAAGTCAAGTGGGATTGTCTTCTTCTATTATACCACAAAGTGTATTACATTCGATAAATACTGAATAAGATCTTGAAAAATTAGAAGATTTACAAGAGATTGTGATTATGAGATCGCAGTCAAATGTTACTCAAGATGGCATTCCGTTATCCCCTGCTTCTACAGAATCACCTACAGAAATACAAGAATTTATCAATAGTAATCTTAAACTGCCTTCTACACCGTTGATTGAGTATACAGTAATGAAGAATATTCAGTTACCCTGCACCTCCAAGGAATCACCTCTTCATGTTGAAGAATTCATCACCGAGTTACCCTCAACTTCAGCACAATCGCCATCACAGTTTTGTACAGAGCCTGTAAAGAGTACTATGCAAGACATGATCTGTATTGTTTGCTCAAAACCAACATCAAGTGCTAATAGGGAAAAACATGTGATATGTTTGTTCACATAGTTTGTGGGGAAACAGATCTTAAAGAGGAAGAGTATGGTAAGAATATATTGTGCAACATCTGTAAAAAGAATATGGATCAGAAAATACAGTGTGATGAAGCCAAGAAATGTTTAGAAAAGCAAGCAAAGAAAATGTTAGCAGTTTCTAATGCAAAGCACCCAAACATCGATGAAGGTTTCACTGTGAGAATTAAAGCACCCGAAGAAGACAGAGCAAAAACTGATGCACGATCAATTTTAGCTGTGGTTCTTAGTAAAACAGAGGATGGCTTTTATAAACTTGATACTAAAACAGGTATTTTAAAACAATTGTATGCAAAATCTGAATTCAGTGTTTGCAAAGAGAGATTTTTAATGAAGGATGTCCCTGCTGTAGAAATATCTTTACGTCAAACAGCAATAAAACAATCCCTTGGTACTGGGCAGGGTTTCAGAAAATGTGACTGCAAATCTAAATGTACCACAAATAGATGTGCTTGTTGCAAAAACCAATTGCTATGAAATTCATTCTCCTAATTGTAATAATATTTTAAACCATTTGATTTTTTGTATTACAGTTTTTTAATTGATTAATGATTGATTCTATCAACTAATTTGTTGATTGTTTGATTGTATTAACTTGATTCTTTAGATATCAAAAATTAAATAAATAACATTATGTTAATTTAAGTGTACAGAAACGTTGCTGTTGTTCCAGCAAAGATCTTATTTCCAAACTTTAACAGATCACTCTAGTTAATCTGGAGATTAGCTAGATAATGTACACATTAACGGCTCTCGAGCTTTAGTAGTAACACATATATATATATATGACAGACAACATTGCTTTGGTAAGAAAAGTCATAAAAATAATAAAATACAAAATTATAAGCTACAGCTTTCAATTATTAGAAATAATTTATTATAAAACAATTTTAAAATTATAATTTAATTTCAAAATATTTTAACGATCGAAAACTTCAATTACAAGCAAATAAAAATAGTTGTATTAAATCTTATGAAAGGGGGAAAAAGATTTTTAAAAAGTAAAACACAAATACTGCAATAGTTTTTTTAAATAACACTTAATAATTAAATTAAATTTTTCTTTTATTTATTAAGATTTATCTTATTATGTTAACCAATAAAAAAATACAATAAATTTTATTTATAATTATTTGCTTTACATAATCAATTGTAGTATAATGCATTATTTGATAACTAAATATCTATTTAAAACTATCCCTTTATTTATTATTTTTTTGTCTAATTCTTTTCTATGATTAATGATGCATTCAAAAAATAAATTACAAAATGTTTTTAAATAAATGTATGTTTAGAAACATTTTTACTCTAGCAAACTGTAATGATATTTATCATTTTATATAAATTATAATCTCAATTTTTAATATAATTTCAGCCGCTACTTTATGCTAAATACTTTTGATATTAATATCCATTCCATTTTTTATCTTTCTAATTAAAATGCTTACTTAAATTTGATATTTAATGAGACCATAAAAGAATATGTTTATTGGCAACCATAATAATAACTGTTTTGAAAATTAAAATTCTAATATAATAAAATGTTGAATTTAAATTACTATATCATTATTATTTAAAATTACTATATCATTATCAAAAAATTATTTAATATTATTCAAGTTTTATAAATAATATTAAATAATTTTTTAAAATCTAATATAATACAAAAAATAATAGCATTACAGTACCTTTAATGCTTGTAGTTCTCTTCGATAGATTAATTCATCAAATTTATCAAGATCTTCTCCTCTAACAAGTCCACGAATTTCAGTCATGAGTGTATACTAGATTATTTATTAAACAGTCTATATTTTAGAAAAATATAACAACACATTCTATAATAATTTTAAGTTTTAATACATTCCAATAATCTCAATAAAAGAAAAAGAAAAATTTCATTTATTTGAATAAATAACTTCAAAATGATTACTTTAGATGGTTGATCAAATAGTTCCAAAAGAACAGCAACAAAAGCATCAATAGTCATCGCCTTAGTTATGTATTCATTGCAATAAAAATTTAGTGTAATTTTCTCCGTCCTAGATAATAACTTTTGAGTTTTTTCATCCAACAATAATTCTGTCTGATCAGCAAAAAAATCTTTAGATCCCTTATATAATTAAAAAAATCAATAATCAAACAAAATTAATTCTTTTTTAAATGCTATTAAGTTGAAAGGAATTAAATAATTTATTTCTGCTAATGTACTCACCCTTTTAATGTTCTTTCTTATGTCAACAAATGGCACAAACTCATCAACTGGTGAACAATCCAGTTGATTCCAACTTCTTTCATTGGATGTTTTTATTAAAGGTAAAGATTCTTTATTTCCAACACTTAACCTCTTTTGTAATCCACTTGAATAAAAAGTATTGCCAATTGGATAATTCAATGAATATGATGGTCTTTTATGCAATGCAAATTCTTCTCTGTATTTACCAGTAAACTCAGGCTGGGTTTTTTTTAATGAACGCTGTTCTTCTTTCCACATACTATGATGAAATCAATACTTTTGTTTCCCTTCCTGAGACCAACATCTTCTGAATTGTCCGGAAGACATTTGATGTAGTTGTAGTTGCTTTGATTCTATAAAATAAAACATTTCAATTTGAAATTAATCACCAAAATTAATCAATCACTATTAAAATTAAACGATTACAAATAAATAAAATGATTTGTTAAAAATATTTTGTTTGATCAACAATTAATTATAAGAGAAAGAAAAAGGCCAGATTATTAATGATAAATTTTTCATAAACTGCACAACAGTAACTTTGTATGTTATTAGTTTGTTTAAAGCAATGATTTAAATTTAATTTTATATTATGTTTTTTAATTTGACTATAATTTTACAAGCTACAGACAGGCATACATACATAGATTTGTTTCCATCTCAATAACAAATTCTTTATTAGAGCATATTCTTTATTTAGATATTATTATTATTATCATCATCATCATTATAATTTAGAAAGCACATATTCTTTATTTAGATATGATATTAAGAATAAGCCAGAAATTTTAAAAACATCTCATAACGAACAATTATTTATTGTGACATGGTCACAATGCTGGACTGCAATTTTTAATCATATTTTTAATTTATTTAACTTAAAATATAAGCTATCCACCTTAAATTAATAGTGTCTTGCCCCTGTACATCATACTTTTCTTTTAACAATTGTCATGCCAATCATCTATCTCCTTTTGGGGGAAAATGTTTGAGTGAAGTACCATGACTTCTGGTTTGCATAGAAATTTCATATATAGTTAATTGAGGTCTCCTGCTCCTAAGCTTTCCATATCTGTTCTTGGATTTCGTCTATATAACTCTATTCTTAAAATTAAGGAAAGACAGACGGATGGATGGACAGACGACAGTTGAATTTGTAAGTCTACAATTTTTTTCAAATCGCAGCCCAAAAATAAAATAAAAAAACTCTTTGTTAGTCTATTAAATCTTTGATTAAATTTTGTGATTAGATATATAAAGTGTCCTAATGATTTGCAGAGATCCAATAATTTCTATAGCAACATTAGTATAATTATGGAATTAAAAAAATATGTCTAACATACTTCTTTATTATACCATGCTACTTTATATACTTTTTATTAAAAATATTTGTAAGAGGAAGTAAAGATACGCTGAATGCAATGTTAACAGTTTTTTATTTTTGTTAGCACTTTCAACAGACTTACATTCATTGTCATCAGGCAAACAAAACTTTAAAAATAAAATACAATGATCTAATATAAGTGGAACAGACATTATTTAATATTAAAAAATTTTTAAAATGGTTATGAATGTGTTACAAAGTTCAATTTTGCTAGATGTTGTGACGTCTTGCAGCTCATGCGTGGATATAGACCCATGTTAAAGGTGTGATAGCAGATGCACATCACTATTTAACTGTTTTATATAGGGCAACCCACATGCTGGGCAGTTCAACTGGTGTTGCATGGCTCCAAGGTTGTTGTGAGGAGAGATTCCCATATAAACCTGAGTTTCCAGTCACTGCAGCATCCGAGTAGCATTGTTGCTACTCAGATGTTGCAGTAACTGGAACATCTTTCAGTTGTTTAGTGAAATTTTTTTTTGAAAATTTCGAACAAATTTTTTTGTTGACGTATTTATATTTAATTTAGGCATTGGTCTTTCTCTTTTAATAATGTTTTCTTTTTCATTATAAGGTCATTTTCAATATCACAGTTACATTCTAAATTGCTAGCTATAATATAAAAGCTAAAATTAATAATAAAATTATAAAAACTTACTTGTTAAAATAAAATGTGTGATTGATATACAATTATACATACCTGGTACAAAATATTCGATTGTATGAATATAGTTTTGTGAAGAAAAGTACATAAAAATAGCATAAGATATTCTTTACTTTTTAAATATTAAAACAATCCACTTAGTTAAAAGTGCTCCCTATCAGTGACTCGAGGATGGAATCATAGACAATCATGCCAAATCCCGAGGGTGCCGATACCGGTTAATGTCAAATGCCTCTTTTGTCGCATCACTAGTAAATCTCAAAGGACGCGACAGAGTTGTAAATTTTAAACATTTCTCATCATAGCTGTAAAAATCTAAATACGTTAAACTTAATAGATTATCCATCTTTTGTTTTCTAACTAATTCGTTTTAGGACCAGGTGTTGTCCACAGAAATTTCCAAAATTTATGACTTTTCAGTCACTCTCATTGAACTGGAAAAATTTCTGTCTTTATTACATCTAATACAGTATTTCGAAGAAATCAGTCCCCACTGTACTCGGCTATAGATTGGTTCGGTTAAGCTTTTGTTTAAGTAATATTCCAGCTCTTTCAGCAGGGTTTTGTTTATGTCCCCAATTCCCTAATCGCTTAATTATTTAACTACTTCTTAAGTAGAAATAAGTCGAAACCGGTTACTATGTACTCGAATATTTGTAGTCTCAGGAAAAAAATGGAAAGACAAATTTTTATGACAAACGGATACATAAATCCTAAATTTAAGGAAAATAAATTCTAGAGCTTTTTCTGTACCTGGTGCATCTCTCTCATTCATTAAATTTAGTTGTAATTTATGCTACCAAAGTAACAGTTAATTTTTTAACATTATACAAGAATTGTACACGTTTTTTTCTACATCCTCTTAGAGATGGGATATACAAAATCGTAATATCACCAGTTTAACATCGAAATCCGTGAGTAATATAAAATCGGAGAGCGGAATAAAAATATCAAATATTTTAACGGATTTTTTAAACTCCTGTCAACTATACAGAACTATCGTAAAAACATACCAGTAAATTCTTATCGGTTGGGTTAAGTTATAAATCTACTCATTATTCACGTAATCGAAATATCTAGTGGGCAGGCGGCTAACAGCCCAGAACTGGTCCTGGACAGAATTGGAAGCTCTATATGTGTAGCATCAACCCAAGGTCGTAGGCTTCCACCAGCTAAACCAGGTGAGGTTGGTGCTCTGTAAATCTGGCTTTTTGGAATCTGACAATACAGAGATTCCACTTCGCCACTAATATTCGAATATACAATAGCAATCTTAATTTTTTTTTTCACAAGTAGTATAGAAATTTGTAATAAGATACATAATGCGGTTATAATAAAATATTGTGCGATTATTTTCATATAATTAAATTTAATATGTATTTATTTTTTATAAAATACAAGGGAAGTGACACTTTCACTGCTTCTAATGACAGCATGCCACTGGTATGCACTCAAGTTTATTATATATTACAACTTATATTAAAAACATGTTAAAAATAATTAATAATTTATATTAATTCAACATTTTAGGCATCAATGTACAGATGCACTCCTACTCTAAATTTGCAACTCTTTAAAATGTACTAAATTCCAAAAAAAAATGTTTGAGATATCTATATACAGTAGAGCGTTGTTTATCCGAATCAATTGGGGACTGGGGTGGTTCGGATAACGAATCATGTACGAAAAAATATATTAATTTATCCCATATTGAAATTTCTCTCCGTTGCGTGTCGCTTCGCATTGAATTTTCGTCTATGTTAAGCCTAACGAAGACTATTGTATCGTTAAAAATTATTTTTTTATTTTGTACCAACAAAATAAATTTATTGAAAAATATAAAAACAATAAAAAATTATACTTCAGATGTTAATTTAGTATCAGAAACGTAAAGTATTTGAGTAGCCCAAGAAATAGCCGAAAATTGCAGCGCCACAGCACTAGCGAAAATTTAAATTTGCCGACTGGAATGCTTTCGGATAACGGATGTTTCGGATAACCAGCTTTCGGATAAACGACGCTCTACTGTATATAAAAATCAATTCTTGTTGGTTTGTCCTTTATATAAATCTTTATTTTTACACCAATCTGTATCAAAGTTTCTATGAGTTTTACTTAGACCCTGGAATCTATACTAAGCTATGCATTACTCCAAAATATTTGGATAGTATATATATAGATTCTGCATCCTTTACATGTAGCACCATTTGTTGGCAAATATAATAAATAAATGCTAATTGTTGTTGGTTTGTTGATAATACAATGGGTGATCGGTTAATGAACATAATCTGTTCCAAGACTTTGTTCGCTATCTGAATTGTTCGTTAATCGATTATTGATTTACCATAGGTTTTTATGGGAATTTGATTAATTCATTCTGGATATCCCCCAAAAAATAAAAAATATATACTTTCTTACTACGTTTATTTATATATATAATAAACGAATTGCATTTTTATTAGTCATGCTTTTTCCGTTGGGGGTTAAAGAATCTGTCTAATGTCTATTGCTTTTCTCTCTTCAAGATTTTTCAGAAGTAATTAATAGCATTGTAATTGTAGAGATCCCTAAGACTATTAACCTCAAATTGGTTTGAATGCCATTCTAAGACCATCGTTCTGACATCCAGAATGACGTCTCATCCTACTTCTTCTTCAAAAAAAGTTTAATAGCAGATATTGACATTAATTCTCTTTTTCAGAAGAAAACATATCTCGCTGAGTTTCTTGGTGTTCTTCATTCAAGAGTTCTTGGCTTTCTTCTGTCGTCAGATCCATTTCAGGTTCCATTATGAGCTCATCAATGTTCTTTATTTCTCAGATGTGATTTTTGTTACTCCTTAAGCTGCTTGAGTCTTCTTGATAATACAGTATCTTTCTTAGATAAAATTTAACTATGGCCTACTGTAGACCTGTTCAAGTCATACTGTCCAGCAACAACAGACATCAGATATCTGCCCACTCTCTACTTTTGCTATTATACTCTCACCTTTCGAAAATAAAAACCAATGCAAAACTTAACGAGTGCCTGCCCAACAGTCTCACGAATACTAGAAAAAAATTTTTTCTGTCAGAAAAATAAAAGGCTGGAATTATAAGGGAGAGTTTCAAGTTCAGAGGAATACTATCCGATCAATATATACCAGGTTGAGCATCGATGTCAACGTCTCCAGAACTCCAAAATGTTTCGAATTGTTGTCCGAAGACAAGGGAAGACTAATCGGTATTCATTATTTTATGTTGCTTCTTTTGTTTGTTCTGTGAGGCATTCATTGTCTGAATATAAAATCTTTCGCAAAAGTGTTCGTTATCTGATTTGTTCGTTAACTGAACTATTCATTAACTGATCACCCACTGTACATTGTTGGTTTTTGGATTGTTGATATTAGATTATTGGTTTGCCTGACAACATCTGCAGAATAGCTTAATGCCTGCCTAAAGGCATCATCACTGTGGAATCATGTTAAAAAGTTGTCCTTTTAGGTGAGGCTCCATCTATTGGGAGACAGATCTGCAAAGAATTTTGCTAATCAATGATTGCATCTCAGTCATGGCAAATTCACTAAAGATCCAGATACTAATTTGATAACACTACATAAACCATAAATGAATGTATAAGAGAGCAATATTGACATCTAAAAACAAATGCATTGCTGAACGTACCCAGTGGACACACCCCCTCAAAACCCCGAGCAAAACAACATATGTCACTAGTACTTAAATACTGTATATATCTCAAAAGCTATTTTGAAGATACAGTATATTTAAACCCTAGCTAGATCAGATGAAATATAAGTCTGATCTGATTGATACACAACTTCAATACTTATACACATGTAAAAAACACATAATATTTTGCACTGCAGACAAAATCCAAATAGCTTAAAATATTTTTAAGTTGGCCAGATGGCCAAAGCAGTCAAGGTGGCAGCCTACTGTGGACCTGAAATCGAATCCAGATGCGTCGAAAAATCCCCAGGAATGTTTCAGGGGGGTGATCCAACCAGATATGTCAATCCCCATCCTGGTCGAACCCATAATGCCTTGCTAAAAGAAGACCTCTTAGTGCCCAGAGGGCAGAAAAAGTTATATACTAACAAGTAAGTTTACTTTATATATATAAATACTTTTAAGTCAAAAATCAATGGGTGATCAAGTAAAAACAAAATTTTCTGCTTTCCAATCTATACTAATATTATAAAGAGGTAATGTTTGTAAGTAAGTAAGTTTGGATGTAGCGGGTAATCTCCGAAACTACTCATCTGATTTCAAAAATTCTTTCACCAATATTTAGAATAGAACTTCAGGGTGGACATAGGCTGTATATTATTCCGTAAACATTCATATAAATTAAAACATATCATCTAGGGCTAAGGCTTTTATGTCCAACAGATGGCGCTATGAGTACGACGCCCTAAGTTTGCTTTTCTGTGAGGATGAACTAAAGCAGATCATCTTCTATCTATCTATATAAATAAAAATGTACGTTTGTTCTACCGATTCCTTTGAAATTTTGACACAACGCTACATTCGAATGCGCACGTGTTTTTATATAATATACATGTCGAAATTTCCCGCACTGGGGGGAGATGGACAGGATTAAGGCTTACAGTAAAGAACTCTGCTTCTATTTATACTATTTCAGATGCGATTTTTTGCGTTTTTGATTGCATTTTAATAAGGTACGTCAAGAGAATGTACACTAAGAAGGGATTTTTCGAAAAATTACCCCCCGGGGAATGTGTTATACATTTATAATAGATACTGTGGCAATTAGTTGCCAACAAAAGAGTTCAGGTTGCACAATTAAATAGGAGTACGTACTCTAGACGAGGAGTTGACAAAAGGATGAAGGCACGTGTTCGAATTGGTCTTTTAAAACCTCCAAACTCCCTCTGGTGGCGATCGGACGAAGTTCGAAATTGGTCGCCACAGTACTCCCCCCCAAGTGCCGAAGGCACGAGGAGCTAAAGGAAGCGAGGATTGAAACGGACTCGACATCCTGAGCGGGTGGTCGTCGATGAGGTGGCGGGGGTGGGAAGCGACGTGTCTGTTGGAACTGGCTGAACCGGAGTGTGCAACGTTCTGGTTGGTGGTGGGACGTTGGGATTTGATCCGGCTTCGGGAGGTGACGAGAATGCAGGCTTTAACCGATCGACGTTTATAGCTGATGTTCGTCCGTCGATTCGGACCTTGTACACCGTTCCCTGCCGAGATATCACTTCGTATGGTCCATCGTAGATTGGTTGAAGTGGCTTGCGAATTGCATCACGACGAATGAATACATGACTGCAGGTGGACAGTTCCTTGTGTATGAAAACCGCACGTTTTGAGTGTGCGGACGTTGCTACTGGCTACTTGCATGGTTTCGCGGAGCTGACCGACAAAGGAAATTGGGTCGATCACCGAGCTTGACTCTGTAGCAAAGAACTCTTTGGGGAGTCATAGATGGGTTCCATAAACCATCTCTGCTGATGTGACGTTGATTCTGTCTTTGATGGTAGAGCGCAAACCCAAAAGAATAGTCGGGAGCACTTCGGTCCACCTCTCAGTAGCGTGGCATTTAAGAGCTGCCTTGAGTGGACGTAGACGTTCGACCAGACCGTTGGAGGCTGGGTGGTAGGGAGAGGTGCGAATACGCTTTGAACCAAGTAGGCTGGCTAGCGCTTGAAAGAGGGCTGATTCAAACTGCCTACCTTGGTCTGTGGTGATCTGTTTCGGTACGCCGAAGCGGGCGACCCATCCAGAGTAGAATGCTCTCGCTATTGTTTCCGCTGAGATGTCTGGTATTGGGAATGCTTCTGGCCAACGTGTAAAGCGATCCACACAGGTCAGACAGTAAACGGATCCATGAGATGGAGGTAGGGGTCCAATGATGTTGATGTGGACGTGCGAGAATCATTAGTCTGGCATGGACAGATTAGCGAGCGGGGCGGAAGTGTGGCGAGTAACTTTGCACCGCTGGCACTGTAGGCAGGAGCGAGTCCAAGCGGTGGCGTCGGCTTTCATGGAAGGCCAGATAAATCTCTGCTGCAAGAGCTTAATCATAGCTCTGATGCCAGGGTGTGAAAGGTTATGCAGCATGTTAAAGATTTCTCTGCATAACGATGACGGTATATAAGGGCGTATGGTCCCCGATGAAACGTCACAGTAGAGCTGGCAAGTAGAGTCTTCGACCATAAGTCGACTGAAAGACAAGCCCTGTGGCGTTTGGCTTGTCTAGCAGCTCCTTAAGCTCGCTGTCGTGTCGTTGTTGAATGGCGAGTTCTTTGTAGTCAATCTGCGACGGCGTGTTTATCGCAGCTATACGGGATAGAGAGTCCACAACTATGTTGTGAGAACCCTCTATGTGACGTATGTCCGTAGTGAACTGCGATAAAAAATCGAGGTGTCGAAGCTGTCTTGGAGAGGCTTTGTCGGGGCGTTGCCGAAATGCGAAAGTTAGCGGCTTGTGATCAGTAAACGGGATGAAGTCACGACCTACTAACATGTGTCGGAAGTGTTTTACGGCCGCGTAGGTGCTCAGTAACTCACGGTCGTAAGTACTGTAGTTGCGCTGTGCGGCCGACAGCTTATTGGAGAAAAAAGCGAGCGGTTTCCATGACCCCTGGAACTTCTGTTGTAGGACGGCGCCTATAGCAGTGTCCGAGGCGTCGACCATCAGGGCAAGTGGCCTCGCGGCTGATGGGAAATTCAACACCGTGGCATTTGCGAGCGCTTCTTTGCATTGCGAAAATGCACATCGCACTTCCGGAGTCCATACGATTTTTGTATCGTCGTTTTTCTTGCTTCCGGACAGAAAGGAGTTGAGTGGTGCTTGCATGTGCGCGGCTTTGGGCAGAAAACGTCTGTAGAAGTTTAACATTGCCAGAAACCGGCGCAGCTCTCGGATGGTAGAGGGTTCAGGAAATTTTCGGATGGCTGAAACCCTTTCCGGAAAAGGACTCACGCCCTCCACTGAAATCTTATGGCCGAGGAAAGACACAGTCTGCTGTCCTAGTGAGCACTTAGAAGGATTTAAGGTTATGCCGTATTCGAGAAAACATTGGAAAACTTCTCGGAGGTGTCGTGTGTGCTCTTCTTTGCTCTTGGATGCCACTAGCACGTCGTCAAAGTAAGGTACGCAGTAATCCAGACCATGGAAAACTTGATTGATAAACCTCTGGAAGGTCTGGGCTGCATTACGGAGACCGAACGTCATCACCGGAAATTCAAACAGCCCAAAAGGTGTTGTGACTGCTGTTTTCGGAATGTCGTCTGGATGGATGGGCACCTGATGGTAGGCTCTGGCGAGGTCAAGTGTAGAGAAGATTGTAGATCCCTCTACCACTTGTGTGCAGTCCTGGATGTGTGGGACTGGATACCTGTCAGGCACCGTAACGGCATTTAGGCGGCGATAGTCTCCGCAGGGACGCCAGTCGCCATTACGCTTGGCGACCAAGTGAAGTGGGCTTGCCCACGGGCTCTTAGATGGGCGGTAGATGCCTTGCTGTAGCATGTAACTGAACTCTGCCTTAGCTGCTTTGAGCGTGTCCGGGGGAAGGCGTCTCGGTCTGCAAAACACCAGTGGACCTGTAGTCTCAATATGGTGAAAAACGGAAGCCTTGCCGCTTCTCGTTGCTATTAACGAGGGATTCGTGATCGAGGGAAATTCAGCCAGCACTCGCTGGAAGTCAGAATCTCCGTGTATGGTGGTGATGGTGAGATTTGCCGTTGGTTTGGGACGTTCAGTGCCTCTAGACTTCAGCTGCGTGGCTGCATCTATGAGGCGGTTTTTTCGTGTGTCCACCAATAGGTCGAAGTGAGTTAGGAAGTCTATGCCTATAATCGGTTGAGTGACGTCGGCGATGATGAAAGGCCATGGAAAGCTTCTTCGCAGGTTAAAATCCAGTGTTAGCAGCTTGGTGCCGTAAGTTGGGATTTTCGTGCCATTGGCAGCAAAGAGAACTAGCTTCCCAGGGGTTTTTGCTTGCAGTGAGAGAGATTTAGGAATCACTGAAACATCTGCGCCAGTGTCGACCAAAAAACTCAAGTTTGTAGACGGGTTGGCCATAAATATTCGGTCAATCAAGCAGTCGCAACTGTTGGCCCCAGACGGCCGCTCTGCTAGTTTCCCGACGGCTGGAAAGAGCAGGGAGGTGTGCATTTCCTGGCTCTCTCTCCAAAGTTGGTATGGTAAAAGCATTGATTGTTCATCGGTTCTTTGTACCTGCGGTAACGGCCTCGGGACTGGCTACGTTTTCGGGGGTGGAACATTGGACGACTATTCATCTCACGTGGTCGCTCCCAATGCACTATGGCCGATAATTCTGCTACCTGATTGGTAAGCTGCTCAATTTGAAATTCTAACGAGGAAGGGTGCGTTAACTGTTGACTCGAAGTGGAATTTACACTTTGCGTGATGGTTAGGTCCGAGATTTTGTCGGCTATCGTAGCTAGTTGGAGTAGGTCCTCGCTTAGCGCAGCAAGAATACTTTGAGTGTTCGCTGGTAATCTTGATAGCCACAAGGACTTTAATAGTGGTTCCCCAACTGCCTTGCCGGCGAGAGCACGCATATGATTTAACAGTTGTGACGGGCGCTGGTCTCCTAACTCCAAGCCTTGCAGGAGTGTGCGAATCTTTGATTCTTGACTTTCCGAGTGTAGCTCAATGAGGCGTTTCTTGAGGGCCTCGTATTTTTCGCTGGCCGGTGGGTGTAGGATTAAGTCGCTGACTGAGTTGAGCACCTCGGACTCGATTGCTGAAATCACGTGGTTGAATTTTGTGGAGTCTGCGGATATCCCGGAGATGGCAAATTGTGCCTCGAGTTGCGCGAACCATAACGTCGGATTCGGCTTCCAAAACGGCGGAGGCTTAACAGCGACTCGAGTTACGTTGACGGCCATTGTTTCTGGCTGGTCGCTGAGCGGCATGCTGATTTCCAGAGCAAAGGATGAGAGCCAAAAAAAATCGGTTAAATGTAAAACGCACGAATTGTTCGATAGCCGGGCGTACGAGTAGAGAGTTCCGATGAGCGAGAAAAAAAAATGATACGCTTACCTAGCATAGGTGCGGGAAGTTACTCGACCTTTGTTCTGTGGCCATGTGGTTGCTCCAAAAAATATCACCAAATAAAATATGCGATGAATCCGATTATGCAGATGGAACAAAAATCGTTGAAATTAATGTCGTGAATGTCCAGATGAAATTGGATTGAGGTTTGATCACGTTCGGGTCAATGTGGCAATTAGCTGCCAACAAAAGAGTTCAGGTTACACAATTGAATAGGAGTCCATACTCTAGACGAGGAGTCGACAAAAGGACGAAGGCACGTGTTCGAATCGGTCTTTTAAAACCTCTGAACTCCCTCTGGTGGCGATCGGACAAAGTTCGGAATTGGTCGCCACAATACATTTTGAGCCACAACAATGTGTGCTAGTGTTTTACAAAATTTGTTATTTTTTAATTTTAATTTTATGAATTTTTCAATAACAAAAGTGAATTTTTGATACTGCAATGAAATTTCATTTTTGTTATGTTGCTACTTAATTATAACAGATGTATTAGATTATTATTCAACAATAAACAATATTAAAATTCTGTTATATTAAATTACATATAAAAAAACCTTATATTTATGTTTAAAAATTCAAAATACTGTACATGTTTTGCTTGAAATCTTAACATTAATTTTTTGCCACACAATACTTTCTCATAAACTAATAAAGTTATAAATAATATAAAAATTAACATAAAATTAAAATATACTTTAGAAACTTACAAAAATATTAACAAAATACTACATTTATAAATTAACTGTACATAATATATAATAAACATCAAGTAATAAGTCAAAATTATTATTAAATTGTAAAATCTTAGCTATTAAATACATTTCTCTTACTTGTGAAAGAATCACCAACTTATTTTCACTCCAAGCAAAATCATTTTAATTCTCCGCAGTTAAGTTTAAAAATGATTTGGATCAGCATAATTTAAACAACATGATTAATAACGGTTTAAATTTATACAGTTATCAATCATACAGCTTCAATTCATACTGTATATATTATCATATATTACTTACAATTTTAATATTTTTATATATGACTTGTCTAGAGCTTTTTTAATAATATGAATATTAATATATTTCTAAGAAAAGTATTTCTCTTCTATAATATTGATAAGAGAATTTTAAATGATTGCTTTCTTTTTTTCTTTAATTTTCAGTCAATTTTTAATTAAAATGGTAATTATGATCAAAAATAAAATATTTCTTTCTACATTATGATGATAAATTCATTCTATATTTATTAAAAGTATGTTAAAAATGGAATTTAAATGAAATTGGTTGTATTAATTAAGATTGTTTTTACTTATGTTAAGGAATTTTCAGATGCTAATCAGTATTTTTAAATATTTTTAATTATTAAAATAATTCCAGGACACAGATTATAAGTCAGAGTTCAAAAATTGTACATTTTAATATATTACAGGCATGATGCTTCTTAAAATATTTTTTAATTAAAAGTTTTCTGTGATAAAATTAATAATAACTGAATATTCATAAAGAAGAAAAGTATATTATTTACTAATATTCAATATACTTATANTATATATATATATATATATATAATGTATATAAATAAATAAATAATACATAATAAATAGCTATATATTTATCTCTGAGGATCGAAAAACTCCAGGAATTTTTTCGGGGTAGGGTAGTCCATCTGGATATGTTGGGCCTTGTCCCTCACCACCCAGCTGTCCCATTGTGGGCTTGGTCAAACAAAAAACACCATCTTAGTCCCCACAGAGCAGAAAGAGTTAAACAAACAAAAAAAAAAAACTGTAATTCTTTCCTACAGAATACTGTTTACATATACATAAAGATAGTTTATATATTCAATAATACTATTAATAAATTTTAAGAATATTTTTATATTTACATTGTTTTTGACAGTACATACTTTCTCATAAACACTAATCAACACAAAAGACAGTTATAAACATTTCACTTAAAATTTCAAATAATTATTCATAATTTAAAAAAGTAAACAATTTTACTTTCATTAAAACTAAACAATTATTTTTTCATCCATTGATGAATAAAGACATCTTCCTAATTACATATTCCATTTTACCATTTATTTATATAAACAAAGTAAATAAACCTAGAATACAACTGAAAACATTAACAGATCACGAATATGATGTCTAATCAAAAAGTATGGGGACTTATTTCGTGGACCACTGTATATTTGAGAAACAGACTTGAAAATTGAGAAGAAAAGAAAATAAATCTTCTCCTAATAACTTAACTCGCTTGCTGTAATGATATTGAATAATTAATGTAATTGATTAATTTCAAAGAAAATGTAATCCATCGATCGACTACCAATCAACATTCATTTCTTTCTCAAAAATCTGGTTTTGTTAATGAGATTTTCCTGTAGTAATATCCATTTTATAATTATTTAATGTTCTCATAAGATAAAAAAATATACTTCTCATAAACAGTTCATTCTTTTATTATTCTCCAAGAGGCCAGTTTTGTTTCTCATTGGGCTGCTATTTGAAAAAATTGTAGATCTATAAATTCCCTCTGTCATCTGTCCATCTGTCTTTCCTTAAACTCGAAAAGGAGTTAGATAGATGAAAGATAAAACCAGATATGGAAACTTTAGGGGCAGGAGGCCTTGATTAACTATATACAAACTTCTGATGCAAATCAGAAGTCATGTTATTTCAATTTAAATATTTTCCCCTAAAAGGTGTTAGATAGATGACTGGCACAACTCTATTATTAAAGGAAAAGTATGATGTACAGGGGCAAGAAACTACTAATTTGAGGTGGAGAGGATGTATTTTAAATTAAATAAATTGAAAATGATTAAAAATTTCAGCCCGGCATTGTGATGATGTCACAATAAAATAATTGCTTGTTTTTGATTGTTTCTTAAATAAAATTTAACTTTTTAATTAATAAATCTTTTATTTAAAGATTAAAACTGTTAAAAATTGTAATAATTTTCTTTAAATAAAAATTATTATAATTACTTTTCCTATTTTATTTTACTTTAGAATTTACTTTTCTATTATATTTATACAGAAAACTCTAAAAAAGTTTTATTTTTAATACTAGAAATTCTGTTTGTGTTTTATTATAATATTAAATATAAAAAAATTTTGCTTGGAAAACATAATAGAAAAATAGATCAGAAGAAACCAAGAATACAACAATGACAAAAAAAGTCCTTGACAAAGCAGACATTGATTGGTAAAAGGAAATAATGACTCATCCTAATAAGAAAACTGATGCTGTTAGGATAATTGAAAAATTCATATAATAACAAAAGCAATAGACAGAAATGTTATTGATGAGTAAGAGAATTCAAAATAAAGATTTAAAACTTTGATCTTTAGTTTCTACTTAAGTTTTCAATAGGAAAAATTTTAATTAAAAAAATTGGCTGAGTGTATTTATATATTAAAATTGTGTTGAAAAACAAAAATATCTTCTATCACTCAAAATCACCAGGAACTAAACAGAAACAGTTCTTATACTATTTGTTATAATACTTGGCATCATAGACAGTGGATTTTTAACTGTTTTGTATTTTTTACAGAGGTGTAGCCTCCAATAAAGTTATCTCTGAATAAGAATTGTTTCTTTTTAGTTCCTAGTGATTCTGAGTGGTGATTTTTATTTTGTTTTTCCACAATACATTTATCCACTAAGTTTGTTTAAGAACCTTCAAAAACTTTTTAATATTTATAAAATCATTAAATTTTAAAATATTTTTAAGTTTTATATTTTTATTTTTGTATTGTTTATTATTTCATTTGTTTAAAATTATATTTTTATTTTGTTTTTATTCTCAAGTTTGTCAAATCAAAAACTTCTTAGTTTGAAAAATTCAAAAACTTTAAATTTAAGAAAAGAATTGTAACCATAAAAAAATTTTTCATGAAAATGAACTATGAAAATTGTAAAAATGACTAAAAAAGTAAACTCTAACAGCTGTTAACTTAAAGTTGTCCCATTCAAGAGTGAATATGAATTCCAAAAATACTAAAATGTCTTTTAAAAAATAAGATAAATTATTTTAAATTAAAATGTATTTAAATATCTTTAAAATCATTCCATGTAAAATGAATATGGACAAAAAAAGTTTTTTTGAGAGATGTAACAATTTGAATTAGAAATATGATGAATTGTAATTACAAATATACAATATGTAGTTAATATTTACTTCTTTCTAAACTCTAAAGAATAAAGTTATATATACTGCATTAAAAGATTTTTGAGTGAGTATAACACGTAGATTATACAAAATAATGCACAGCAAAAATTTATTAGCATTTTTGTATACATATATATTTTTGTATATACAGTCGACCCCCCTATAACGTGGTAGATACATTCCACTTTATAAGAATTTCACGTTATAGGAATCCTTAAATATATGAGCCAATCACAGCCCAGTACGTGTGCAGTTTACGGACTACAGCTGTTTGAAAGGTTTTCTTCCATAAAATTAATCAATTCTAGACTAATTTGACTCAACATTTCCAAAACATGTATAATTTTTTGGGAATAATCCGTATAAACTATGCTATAAACAAAAAATTGTAGGATTACTTACTGAGTGTGTACCGTTTGATGACGCCATTGCTTAAGCTTGTTTTTGTCACAGAGCAGTGCACCAAACGGCGGGTGCTTTTTCTGATCAATGAATTTTTCACAGAAAAACAACTTAACTTTGGAGACATCATTAATAGAAATAATTTTTGTGGCCGTTGAATAAGAAATGTTTTTTTCACAAGAAATGTATAAAATTACAGTACTGTATTAGACTTACAGTACCTAATATACATATAGTCTGTACAGTACCTAAAGTACTGTACAGACGATAGTAAACTGAACTTACCCGCCTAAACTCTCCGTAGCGTGTAAGTAGTTTGGATGTTTGTCCACTATTGGTCCAGATTCAACCAATCCTTTCGTGACACGAGTCGGTGATGACGTTTTACCGCATTTTACGAGTCTCTTTTAGCATCTTTATACAAATACGGTTGCAATTTTTTCGCCGCAATATATGAATCCGCATTACAGGGGGGTCGACTGTATATACATAAAATATATATTTTTTCAAAAATATTCTTCAGTTTCTAAAAATTAATATTTTATTAATTTTACTGATGTGATAATTCCTTTTTTAAAGCATTTAAATAAGAAATCTACTCATTAAAGCAAACTAAAAAAAATTAAGCTGTTATCAGTCTCTCGTCATTTCTATTGTTTACATTGAACTAAAAAAAATGTTTTCATTTTTATCATATTGTAAATATATTATGTAATTTAATTATAAAATATTACTTAAAAATACTATACTATAGTTTTTAAAAAAATACCAAAAATGCTGCCCTATCTATGCAAGCCATTAAAAATGGCATGCATGAGGTATCATTCAACTTATTTGGTTATAGATGTACTAATAACAATTCTTAACAATAAATAAAAATAATAATGTTTTCAGTTCTGATGTTTTGTATTCCAAAACATTGTAGACACTCTCTTTTAATATTTCTATACATAAAAATCCAGCAATGAGTTGCATAACTTTCCCAGCAAAAACAATTTTAAATTATGATGGCACCATTTGTTATATTTTATTTAAAAACTTTTTACATTATTAATTATTATAAAATAGCAAAAAGCTTAATTTTTGAAGTTAAAGAGGAGTTTTACAAAAAATTGTAAATGCTAATAACAAGTAAATCTTCATTAAGTTCAAACCCAATCAAGAGATAACATGTCTCTTGTCCCTGTATTTCTCCACCCCCTTGATCTTTAACCACCAAAATTGAATAGCACCAATCCCCCTAATACACAAACCTCCCTGCAAAATTTCAAAAATTTTCAACAAAAAACACAGGAATTATTAAGCTTCAAAGTGAGTGAACAAAATTTTGCCCCCCCCACAAACATACAGAGGAAAACCCACTACATTTTTTTCTGAATTTCTTTACATTTCAAGGTCCTCCTATGAGTCCAGAAATGGGGATCATTTTTTGACTCATTGCTATACTTTCTCTCTGTTATATACAATAGCTGGGAAAGCGAAAATTCCATATCTGACAAGACTTTTTACTCTTAAAAATTTTGTTTGGATTTAACTGTGTTAACAATTAATATTTAATTATTTTATCTTTGGTTTATACAACAGCTTTCATATGAACATTTGACATATCAACAACCCTTGCACTCATTTGGAGTGATTTCATTCCAAATTTACTTTTTTTTTTTTCCTTTAACCATTCACACTTTCTCAATGCTTTTTAAATTCTACTCCACATGTTTTCTATAGGAGAAAGGTTGGGCTGCTCGATGGCCCATTTTTAATGTATTAATATTATATTGGGCCAGCTAAGCCTTGGTGGTTTTAGCAATATGGTAACTTGCACCATCCTGCTGGAAAATAAAATGTCTGTGATATTGTAATTTTTCTAATGATTACAAGTTTTACTCAAGGTTTGTCGGTATTTTGCTGCATTTACTGTTTTCTTGATGAAATACAAATTTCCCACACCTTGGGCTGACATGCAATCTCACACCATAACACTTGCTGGAAATTTTACAGTGTTGTAGACAGCCACAATGGGATGGCTCTCTTCATTTTCTAACGACTTTTTTCTATTGCCTCCAATGCAGACTTCAAACTTTGCCTCATNTATATATATATATATATGTGAGATAATTATTACATAAAAATTTAACTTTAGAATTTAGAATTAAATAAAACCAAAAATTATTTTTTAATACCTCATAACTTCATCTGGACTTGTGCAACAAATTCTCTATGTTGAGAATAGACTTAGGATCACATTAGCATCATAGTAGTTGTCTACACTGATGAGTTCCCAGTGCTTAATTTAGTTCTCTAATTAAAATATTTTCAAAAAATTAATATAATTATAAAATTTATTAACAAAATACAAATCATTAAATTAATTATTCTGATTAATGATTCTATAATAAAGCAATAAAAATAATTCTAAACAATGTAATAAGATTTCTACATAAAAAGCATTAATATAAAAATAGAAGTAATCAGACTGTTATTCAACCAAATATTAATTTACTGTACCAAATCTAGCATGCTATTAACTGAAGAATTACTTAATCTATTTTCTCATATTTAATTTTTCCATAAAAAAGATGATGGAGCAGTAATTATGGCTGATTGAATATACTAATAGAGATCTGGATGATTTTCTTAGTTCTAAAAGAGTTTAAAAATCTGAAAACCTTTCCTTAATAAATTGCAGATTTAAAGAAAAATCTCAAAGATCTTTTAGGGATATTCAGGATCCTTAGAAAATCTTTAAGGACTTCTATGTTATAGAAAATGCAAGAATGATACATTTCTAGAGGAAAAAAATCAAATATATTTCAAGTAAATTTTCATGGTTAGCAAAGATTTGGTTTTATATATTATGATGATTCAATAAAAAATATGTTTTTTGAAATTCTCACAGAAAATTCCTCAATTAAATATGTTGAAAACTTTGTAATTCTGGACTTGTTGGTTTTTTACTTGTATTATATTTTTCCCTAAATACTTTTTTCCATTTATTATGTATTATCAGACTGCTGATTTGCTTATATATCTAAAACACACATTCCAAATCACTAATGAGTTTATTTATCGCCTACATGGTTCAGTTGATAACAATTATAAAGTGTCTATCATTTAGATAACTTATTATGAAGAGTTGTTGTAAAGTGAAACTTATACATTAGTTACTATAACTAAACAATAGTTCTCATAATAATAGAAAGCTTAGTTAAATATTTAGACAGAAAAAATTATAATATATAGTCATGAGAAAGACTATACATTAAAGATTTAAATAGTAACATTAACACTGTTTGCACATACAAGGTCTTCCAGAAAGAATGCTACCATTTTAAATTATTGTATTTATGTTAATTATTATCTGAGAATATTGTAATATACATTAAAACTTTGGATAATTATTTCAAGTTTCATATTTGCCCATCACAATTTCTCAATCGTACACCTTATGTTATGCAGCACACATGCAACCAATACTTAAATTCTTCTTATGCTTGCTACAGCATATTTGTTATCACTCCTCCCACATCAACCACAATTCTACAGCTCCTGTAGATTACTCATATTTGATAAGTAATTCCAATTTTGCAAACTGCAGAACACAAAAATGCCTTCTCTATTGTGAAGTCACCATTTCCATTCATGGCACTTCCTATAGGTAAACAAGATGTTTGAATGCAGATGGGAGATGATACTTGGACAGTTACTCTATCAATTGCTGTACATCATAAATTTATCAAGTAGTAATTAACATAATTACAGTAATTTAAAATATTAGCATTAATTTTGAAAAACTCTCTATTATTTTAATAAAAGTCATTGCTTGTTAATTTAACACTATTGTAGCACTTATTTTAAAATTTTTTAAGATTGGTTTAATGAACAGTTTAAAAAATTAGTAGATTTTTCATTGAAGATTCCATAATGACGTAATCTGTAATGCTAATATAATACTGACTTAACTTTAAATTTAACAGTACCTAAATATTTATTGAGTTAAACAACACTTCAGATTCTGATAATTAACGTAAAATGTCTCATTAGTTATTGGTCAGAATTGTAATATTAGACTTGCTGTTCAAAATCATTAAAACATTAACTAACTTATTAGCATTATTTAACTATCATCTTTACACACTATCTATTAAACTGTTTGCACAAGATAATTATATTTTGATCATATTAAAGTATAGATTAAAAACTAAAATCTTGAAATTTTGTCTGCAAGACAAAGTTATAAAAGAAGAAAATCATTTATTCATCATATAATTAACAATAAACTATACCTATAATGTTTATAAATTTATAAAGCAAATGTCTAAGCTAAATTCAGATAACTGTGTTAACAATTAATATTTAATTATTTTATGTTATAAGAATTAATAAAACTGAGATAAAGTTCTGTTTAGCAGTATAGATGGAATACTAAAAAATTTGAAAAGAAAGACTGAAGGAAGTGGAGGAAGATATCAAAGAGAAGTAAGATTAGAAGAAGCAGGAAAAAAATTTGAACTAAACTGAAAAGGAAAAAAATGAAGGAAAAGAAAATTAAAAGTTAAGAAAGCGTACAGGGAAAAAATTCCTAACAGAATTCCTAATAGAAACATTCAAGAAAAAAAAAATAGAAGATTCANCGACTCGAGTGAATTTTTGAATTGAAATAATGTGACTTCTAGTTTACATCAAAAGTTCACATATAGTTAATCAGGGCATCCTACCCTTAAGCTTTCCATATCTAGTCTCGGATTTCGCCTAGTTAACTCCATTCTCGAAATTAAGGAAGGACAGAGAATGGACAACAGTGGGAATTTTTAAGTACAATTTTTTCAAATTGCAGCCCAATTACAATTTAATGAAAGTGAATAAAATTAGTAATAATTAAATAGACTAAAAGCAATGTTAAATAAAATTAAATTATTTATTGTATCATTTTTTTTATATTTCAAATGTTTTTCTAATTATGATACTTTTAACTGTATGCTTATATATTTTTTATCTTATTTGTTTTATTCAAATTAATTTATAACATAAATGAAAAAATTTTACTCAATTTTACACTAAAAATTTTCAGTAATGTGCTGTATATGTGGTCCCACTTAATATGGCTAATTAAGACTACATTGCATTACTAAATTAATATTTCACATACTTTTTACCTTACAAAATATCAAATGTGAATGCAGTTAATTTATTTGTTTATAAATGAATGTAATGATTTATCTTTACTTTTACAATATTTAAAAATGTAGTAGAAGTTTCATTATTTCCAACTTCATTTTGTATGCTTTATTTTAATTTAAAATAAATGTAATCTGCATAATGTTTATAACTTATGTTACAGATAAATGAAAAAATGGTAACAAAATATTTGTTATATTTGACGAAATCATTGACAAATCTTGTAAGACAACAGATTGTAATATTTTTAATTGTAAAACAACAAGTAGAAGTAACAAATGAAAGTAATGAAGAATAAATAGAAGAAAATAATCAATTGTAAAGTAATGAATAAAATTTATATTAAAGAAAAATCATCATTTCTACACCATAACTTTTTCTTAAGTCTCTCTTATCTAAGTTTGCACTTGTCTAAGATAATTATAACCCCAATCAATTTGGATAATCAATACTCCACTCTATTGGCATCAGTGTAAAAGACTAATAATTATTCACAAAATGCTTATAATTGTATTTTGTAAATAAAGATATTAAAAAATGTGTTTAAAATATTATTTTCATATACATTTGTTTATAAATTTCTATTTATTTAGCAACCGATCTATCTGTCGTGTTTTTAATAATAGCAAATACTTTGAATAATTTGTGTTCTTCAGATACTTATAATGTTTAAAAATATGACTTTTTATATTGCAAGAAGTTAATGCACTCTTATATTTAAAGTTAATAAGATTTAGCATTTCTCAATCCATAAAGTTTTCTTTCTTCCTCTTTATAATATTGATTTTTTTTTAAATAATTGAAAATTAGATTATTGACCTATTAAAAAGTTAATGATCAATTAAAACATAAAATTTTTCTACAAAAATGTGAATATCAGACCAAATAATTTTTCGAGTCTTTACAAATTATAATTATTTTATAAATAAAGTTGTAAGATATTATAATTTTAAGAAATGACTTGAATATAATCTAAATTATTCAACTAATCAGAAATCTTATAAGTCATAACTGTTTACTCATTTATTTACATTTCTTTATATTGCAATAGGATAAATCTATAAATCTACACACTGTACTATTAATTTCAGTTAATTCAGTTGTAACAAGCCATTTTCTGCCTGAACTTAAACTAAGAATTGAGTCAAAGCTCCATCAAGTCAATACTATAATATTATTTTGGGATCTATCTATGATGATCACTTGCCACTATCATGACAGTGACATCACTATAAAAAAGAATATTAAAAGAATTGCACATGCTTGTGCTAGCAACCTTGGACATTGTCACTTTGACCCATTGTATGTCAAAAACAAAATCATGGACCCCTAACTTTTATTTTAACTTAAATTTTATTTTTATTTATATTATAACTAGCTTACCCGTCGCGCATTGCTGCGATCTCAGAAGAAACGAAATTCAAGCAAACTCGTTATGATAAAATTCAATTTACATTTTATTATTTTTATTGAAACTTATTATTATTATTCATTTTCATCGGGAAAACATTTCAAAGTGTCGTTTCAATTCTATTTATTTATTGGAGTGTTTGTGGATACACGATATTTTTTGTTTTTCCGTCTGGTGCGTACACGAATAAATCGGAAGGTTTTTCGACGCGTGAGCCGGCCACATACAGTTGTCCATGCGAGAAGCACGGATTCTCCAAATTTAGCCCACACACTCGCTGCGATTGTCAGAAGTGCGATATTCCCCATTTTTATATATATTTTTAAATCCTTTATAATTTTAATTATTTAATTGCTCCTTCCTCTCTTCCTTGGCATGTTGTGAAATTTCTGATAGTTGGATAATAAACCGTTTTATTGTAATTTGTCTTTTTAAATTATTTTGAGTCGATATTAAAATTTGGAAAAGGGGGATCCCTAGATCGGTAAAATAGGCGAATTTCCTTCTACAACTTCGGTTGTTGTTCATGATACAGTTAAGGCTTTAACAAAGTTCGAGCGATTACGTAATTAGCAAAAAAAAGTTGAAATAAAGTGATTAAACAAAAATTATTACAAATATCGTAAATAACAGTTCACAAATGCATATATAGAGATATTTTTTGAAGGGGGAAAAGGTCTTCACAATTTGAAATCGATCGAACACACTGTGC